AGCCTAAAGTTGAAATCGCTAATGATGATGATATGTCCACTCCTTTGGGAGAAACTTTGTTGCCTCCTCGACCAGCTTCAGGACCTTGGTTTACTCCGGATGATGTCCCTCCAAGTAAATGGAGAAGTAAAATCCTTGAATTCAATGCGTGGCTTGATCTTCAAATGGTTGACCCTTGAGCAGATCTAAAAGGAGTTCTTACAGAATTTACTTCTCGGTTCACTAGATCTATTCGAGAATGGTTTTCAAGCCTTTCAGAGTATTCCAGAAAACAATTCCTCGCTCATGATAATGTTAATAAAGCTCTTGCACAAATATACAATCAATTTCTTGGGAATTATGAACTCATTTTTAAGTAATGAAAGCAAGAGTTCTTTGACCGAAGGTGTTGCTCTTTGAAAGTTAAAGACCTGGAAACACACTACATTTAGATGTCTAAATTATACTATGAGATTTCTGGTATTAATGATGACAATCTAAAATATACCTTTGTTTCTTCTCTGCCTGATGAAGTCCAATGAGAAATCCAACGAATGATTCAAGATTGTCGCAAAGATATCAGCCAAATCTCTCTTGGTGAAGTTTTGCAATTCACCTTGTCCTCTATTGAACGTATGTGTGAACAGCAAAAATATTCAAGAAAAATGCTTAAGGTGATCTCCTTCTTAAAAAGGTGTGCAACTGTGATCATTTGAAAACAAAATGCAAAGACAGTCATTGTTCTTGCACTCCCAGACGGAAAAAGCACTCCAAAGGGTATTTTAAATTCCCTCAGTATTATCGCAAAGGGAAACATTTTAAAAAGATGTGATGGTTCCGAAAGAAGTCAAAATCCCATAAGAAATCAGATAAATTTTATATCTGTGGATAGAAAGGACATTTCACTCGAAATTGTCCCAATAAGCCTAAGCGGACTATTGCTCTTCTTCACCAACTTAAAGTTTCTTGCCCTGACTACTCTTCAGAACATGATCTTGAATCCCTTTTTTCAGAAGAAGATTCAGCCTCTCCTAAAACACTTTTTGCTCTCCCATATTATGATTCCGACTTTGCGTCCGACACAGATTCAGAAGAAGACACTTCCCCAGTTTTCACTATTGGCTCCCCTCTTAATATCAAACAGGAACCCTCCTGATCTTGACTTCCCAGCATCTCTTGATTTCTTACTATGCCCTTTTTCTCCACTTCCTGAAATTCCAGATGTATTTGCGGATATCTCTTACTATTTTCCACATATATCCTCACCTTGTAAAACACCTACACTAGTAGCCTCATCTCAATCCTCTCTATCAGGATCTTCTGCAGTGTTTCCTCCACTATTACCTTCCATAGATTCTTCCTAAGACCTCCCATCTTCTCCAGAAGTTACTTCTGCACAGCCTTCTCATCGAACACCACTTGTCTCCATAGAGAAACTTATCTCCGTAACTGCTCTTTTTGATACTGGCTCTCAATGTACTATGATTAATCCTGATGTCCTGCCCTCTTAGTTTTGGAAGAAAAAGATTAATCATTTTACTGCTGCAGATGGGAAACGATTCCAGACTACAATGGTTACGAAGAAAAGAATTGGACTTCAATTCTTTCCTGATTACATAGTTTGGACTTGTGTAACTGGTTCCTATCTTTTTGGACGAGACCTCCTTGTTGGATTTGATGTTTATCACATGGCAGAAAAACTCCAAATTCTTCACACTGGCTTTAAATACAAATGACAATTTAAGCCATATACAAACAGCCCCAATCAATTTACCATTTAAGATGTTCCCCCAAACTTTGTTCATATGAAGGAACTCTTCTCTCCTTGTTGGGCTAATTCACACCTCACCTTTAAACATCGTTCTTCTCTATACAAAAATTCGGATTTCTTTGTCTCTCTCCCCTTCAAACTAAATGAGGACATAAACCCTACTAAGGCTAGCCATCCTGGTATGTCTCCTTTGGATTTAGCCTTAGAAAGAACAGAATGCCATGAGCTCTTACAAAAGGGACTGATTGAACCAACCCAATCCCCATGGGCCTGTCAAGCTTTTCATGTTGAAAAGCGAACAGGGAAACTCAGAGGAAAAAAGAGACTTGTTATTGATTATAAATCATTGAACCACTTTCTTGCTGATGACAAATTTCTCATACCAAAGATTTCCTCTCTTTTGATCCATCTTCAGGCTGCCAAATACTTTTCAAAATTTGATCTTAAATCTGGGTTTTGGCAACTTGGTCTCTGCCTTGAAGATCGCTACAAGATTGCTTTCTGTAGACCAGATACCCAGTTTCAGTGGACTGTCATGCCTTTTGGATTAAAAATAGCTCCTTCTATGTTTCAAAAGGCCATGATTCGGATTTTTGAACCTTTGCTGGCAAATTGTATCATCTATATTGATGATATTCTTCTGTTCTCGGAAATAGCCAAGGCTCATGAAGAACTCTTAGTTCGTTTTCATCATCTTGTTCATTCTTATGGCATCATGCACTCTGAAAAGAAATCTATCATCGAAAAACAAGAGATTGACTTTTCTCAGCCTCCATATTGAAAATGGACAATATCAACCAGGCCCACATTTGGCCCAAGAATTAGCCCATTTTACAAATGACAACCTCTCCAAAGTCCAAGTCCAATAATTCCTTGGCTTTATCAATTATATCCGAGATTTCATACCTAAAGCTACTACATATACAAGGCCTTTATTAGCTTTGCTCAAAAAGAATCCACCTCCTTGGTTTGCAGAACATACGATCGCTGTCAAGACTCTCAAGGAATTAGCACACAGTACTCCCTCACTGACAATTCATCTGATGACGCTCAACTTATCCTCCAAACCGATGCAAGTGATTTAGCCTGGGGTGCCATCCTTATCCAACGGAAAAATGAGATAGAATCTCTCTGTAAGTTTGCATCAGGCGAATTTAAAGATGCTGAACTCCATTACCACTCTAATTTCAACGAGATTCTTGCAGTCAAGCATGGTATCCAAAAATGTGAATTCTTCCTTACAACTCGACATTTCATTGTCCGACTGGATAACTCAGCATTTCCTCGAATTCTTGACTTCAAAGGAAAGCATATCTCTGATAAACAGTTATTAAGGCTTAAAGAATGGTTTACTCGCTATGACTTTGAGGTCCAACACATAAAAGGAAAAACCAACCTGATCCCTAACTTTTTATCATGGGTCTCTAAGCCATTACCCTCCTCCTCCTCAATATCCAACACCTTTTGTCCTTTCATAGGCATGGCCCGTCAACAACCCCCAAACTTGGCTCCTCAAGAGCGTGGCATATGGATTTACCGAAAGATAATCGAGATATATCCTCAAGTGGTTCCACGACCCACATAATTTTCCTCTCCCTTTCCCTGGAGACTGTTCCCACTATAACAAAGTCTTTTCCTCATACTGATCAGGAAGTTTGGTATCTATGGTGTCTCACCACTTTATACCACCTTCCTATTGAAATTTCCTTTCTTCTTACCCTTTGGTTCCTTCATAGGGAAGAAAACCATCAGCATCCCGCTTGGTAGTTCTTTTCCCTCTTTGAAAATATCTCATCCTGACAGTACAAGCTTCGAGCATGGATTCATCAAGATAATTTGTTTTCCCATCCTGACTTCAATGTTGCTAAAGAATACATAATCATCCTTCTCCTCCACAGGCAATATGATAACTCTGGTACCACTGTTACTACCATAACACATTGGAAAAATCTCCCTTGTCGTTTTGAGGAATGCTCTCTGGACATTAAAAATGCACTCTTAACCCATGGAAATTTCCTAAATAATTCAACAAACTTGTATATACCCATGGTGAGCATGCATCGAACTGATACAGATCCCAGAAGGATTATTTCCTTTACTCCAGATCTTACAGCCGGACCTTTAGAACCCCTTGGATCAGAATTTCAGGATTCCCAACCTCCTGAAACTCCATTGAGCTCCCAGCAGATTCATGACCTTGCTCATAGAAGATCCCCCAGATTCCATACTTTTCTGAACTGGCATGACTCATCCAAAAGACAAAGGAGTTCCTATTACGACAATGAATCTGATGACTTAGATGATCCAGATTATTCTGAACATGAGCCAATAATCAAAAGACGGGACTAAAGGACAAATCCCTATTATTTTATTTTGTAATCATGTTTGTACTTTGTGTCTTTTCCCTTGTAAGTATGTGGACATGCCACATTATTGTTTGTAAGATACGATTGCCACATGGCCCTTCGCCATTGGCTACCTAGATTATATAGGATAAGATAAGATAAGGTTACCACATGGTTCCTTACCATTGGTTAACCAAATTATGTAGGATAAGGCTCTTGGCCTATAAATACGTATCCTCCTTCTCTTGTAAGATCATCGAAAGCTTCTCAGAAATAAAATCCTCTTGTGTTTTTATCTATGGCTTTCTAAATCTTTCTCTTCTCCTTTCTGAAAATAGTCACTTTCATGATCCATTGTGTACGAGAACTGTACCCCTTCCGGGTACACTGGTTCAGTGTTCAAAAGACCTAGAACGGCCTATTGAAGCCATGGATGGCATGTTGGCTGTAAGGTTGCGAATGTTTGAATAGGCATACCCTGAAGGTGGACAGCTCTCATTCCACCAAGTACTGATTTTTCCAAACTGTTTTTGTCGATGAGCAACAATGAGATGTTTTATTATATTTGGATGTTGTTTACATGGGTAACTACTATTTATTACTAGCCCTTAGCAATTTTTTAAGTAGGGTTTTTTTGGAATTGCCTTTTATTTTACAAGGTTTCTGTTATGTTCATTATCCTTCATTTTTACTGGAAGTACATGGAACATTTCAAAGTTATTATGAAAGTCTTATATTCTTTTGTATATGAAAAACCCATACTTTTCAATCCCTTCGTTGTTGCTTTTTTTTTTTTTTTTTTTTTTTTGTATATTGAAAAAACCCCATACTTTTCAATCCCTTCGTTGTTTGGCTTGTTTTTTTTTTTTTTTTTTGTTGCTTTTTATGATTGCTTGGAATAAACGTGATTGGCTTGGACATAAACGTATTCCATTTGAATATGTTGCTGGCCAATTTGATTTTCTTAACATGCCTAATATTTGTTGTTGATTGTGGCTTTACTCAATAGTATGCAGCATTTGGTAAAAATGATTTTATTTACATGGTGTTTGTCAATTTTGAATTATCATGCACCTTCCAATAGAACTAATTTCTTTTGGAGCTTTTTCTTTAGTTATTTGTTTAATATAATGTCCATTTTAGCTTTATTTGTTTATTTCGTTTAATTATAATAGTCTGTTAGTTATAAGAGTCTGTGTTCATTTTAGTTTTATCACTCAAATAGATACAATTGTCCAAACCAATGACAAACACAAATAGCTACAGTTCATTATGAAAAATAAGAGAATCTGCATATGTGCAGTGGCCAAAACAAGACTCTTTGAACAAATTGTACCAAAAAGGCTTTGAAAGCCATATTTTCATTAGATCAGATACCAAATTTTACAATGCCATCTGCATATAAGCAGAATTCTTACTGCCATTTGCACATGTCTACCAGATACACATACTCCACTTAACAATTATATTCCACATACATATACCTATATGTTCCCAGTAAGACTTACAAATAAAAAATCTTTTTAGGCAAATAATTAGCAATTCCTAAACCTCATCTAATTCAGAGTTACAAATATAATTGTTTACATACACAATGTACAGATCATGTATAACTTGAAGTTGTATTCCATCCGAGCATTTTGAAACTTCAAGGAGTTTATCTCAAGTCATAGGCTCATTGCAGTCTCTAATGCAATTGAGGTCTCCTTCTCTTCTTATGCATTTGTCCTCCAGTTCAAATAACCATCTCACCAATTAATGTCTCCTCTTGCATCAGCTTCATTTGCTTCTCTAATAACACCCTTTGGCTTGTAAAAAATTGGACAAGATCAAACCACTCAAAAAATTGATAGTCATCATCCTAAGCGACTAAACCCATTAAAAGTACTGATAGCAACAATAAGCGGAATCATTGTTTAAGCAAAAACTTGAAAGTGCTAGATTTGGCCACATTATTTTTCTGTCAGTGTTTCTTTTGTTTTCAAAATGGTCCCATCTTTTAATAAGAAATTCATAGCAGCAAGCATCACTTAAGATTGCTTTTCATTCGAGTCTCTCAAAGCAAAAACAAATTCTGTTTACCAAATGAATCAAATATCATCAAAATTCCTGCAGGTAAGTGTATCATTCTAACAATAGTACAACAAGATAGTCCTGCTTAAAAAAAAAAATGCTCAATTCAAGAATTTGTCAAAATGGAAACTAGAACCTAAAGAATCAAAATGGTAAAATTTGTTGCAAGGAGCCTTTCCACAAAGGAGTCCAACTGTTTACCTGCAAAAAATGACAAATTATTAAGATAAAAAATCAAATTCCAGTTACCTCCATTTTGGACAACAAAGGAATCGCTTTCCCTAGGTTCCTGTCGCTCTACGATGTATAAAATTTCGGCTTCAGATTATGCCTATATAACGCTGGATCCCTAGAGTTCATATGATTCTCTGACGCTTGGCTCATATTAATTGCGACTCCTGCTTCCATCGTTAGATATCAAACAAAAGAAAGAAATTGATTGAGGTAAAGAAATCTGGTAGTCTGAATGCATTGAAGTTATTTGGGATTTAAAGAGAAGGGTTAAGAAATTGGGAAGAATAAAAATGAGAATTTCCATGAAAAGAGAGGATAGAGAAGAGAGAATTGTCTTTATCAATCTCAATAAGGCATCATATAAATTTATGAAGAGAGAATAGGCATCATTAAACTCTATTTAAAACTACGTTGTTTCGTCGTTGCTTTTTAATTGTCTTCTACGCTGATGTGTCTATTTGATGTGGCGTTGACAAGGCAATTGGTGGGTCTAGTTGTTTATAAACAGGCTCTTAATGGTTGCTAGAATTGCAAGAAAAAATTAAGTCCACCGTGCCGATTACCAAAATTAAAAGGATTTGATAGAATTAAAAAAATGATAGAAGTATATGATCTGTTGGGTGATTAACCCTATTTTAAAATTGTAAATCAATAATAATATATTAAAATTACTTAATGTAACTGTATATGTGTTTATTTATTATGTTATTCCTCTTTTGATTGTGTAAAAATAAATAGAACGCTGAAATCCTTTTAAAAATCTTATATGCTAATTGAAGTCTAATCTTATCATCTTCAAAAAAAAAAATTGATGTCTAATCTTATAATTAATAGTAATTTTTTCTTTATCTATAATTTTTATTAATTTTTTCTTTTATCTTATGATAGGACTTCTGCCGTTGTCCTATCATATTAAAATTAGTTTAAAAAATAAATAATTTTCTTCATCCTTACATTTTATTTTAAATTTTTTCCTTTTATGCCTTTGAGATAGAAACTATCCTGAGCTTTGTCTAATGCCAATATTAAAAATTAGAGTCAAATTAATATATATAATATTGATAGTATATTAATATAATCAAATATGAAAGCAGTATAATAAATAACCATTATATATCTCCCCCGCTTCGGACATATAAATTACTGCAATATTGAATTTTAAAATAGAGATAAATGTTGTACAATATTCGTTTATAATATGAATATTATTTAAATAGAGATAAATTTTAATTTGAAGTTGTTACACATAAAATCATGCTTTAACATTGTAAATATCTAGAAAATATAAGAAAAAATTATAACTATACTTAATATTATATAATAATAAAATAATGACTATAAAATGAGTAGTACCGGGTAAACGTATATTACAAAGGAATAGGAAAATTTAAAATATTATGAAATAACTTTCGTCATAGCTAATTAAAAAAAATTTATCTTAAAAAGTATTTATAATATTTAATTGTAATTTTAAATATATTGATTAGGAGAGGGTTAAGGATAGGAAAAAATATTAAAAATATATAATATTTGATTATAAATATTTGACTTTTCAAAGTTATTTTTAAATATTTAATTTATTTGATTGCCATTTAAAAGATTTTATTTTAAGAGTGGGATATAGAAAAGAAAAATGTATTCTTTTATTTAATATTATTTTTGTTTGCATAATTTGATTGAATATTTTTTGACTTGTCTTTGGACTTTTTCTTTGTTGTCCATTAAAATCGAATTTCATTAAAGCTTGGTCTTTCGAGTTGAAGAATGAGCTGATTTTTAAGATTCAATTAATAATTTTTTAAAATAATTTATTTCTTATTATATATTGAGTTTTGAAAATACGTTTTTATTTTTTTATTGATTTACGGTAGGGGATATGGTGTTGGGGATTGAGTATTGTCTTGATTTACTTTTTAAACACCTGTTAAGGTTTCAAGAATCTGTATATATAAATTAGAGGCTAAAATTATATTTCGGAATTGAGTTGAACTTTATTTTAGACTACTTCTTTATATGAAATAGAATTAAATACATAGAATAAACATCACAAGTACTTGTTAGGGCAAAGTGTAATGTAAATAAATATATTATTTATTTTAATTTAGATAAAAACTTATATTTTAATATTATATAACAAAGTGTAATGATAAATAAATATATTTATTTATTTTAATTTTAGATAAAAACTTATTATTTTTAATATTATATAAATAAAATTAAATATACCAAATAACGAGGTATAGTATAAAATGTGCACGAATCCATAATAAACATTAAGTTATAATAATACCTACGGTTGAAATTATTAACATACATAAGATTCAAATTAAATAAAAAATTATAGTTCTGGCATCATCAATTGAAAAAAGGACATATTTGTTTCATATCATATTTTTTCGCCTACTCATTAATTACCTATATTGTGATAAATTAACCAAACCATTTTAAATATATGTGAACCAAATTAATTAATATATTAAATATATATTTTAGATAAGTATAGGTATTGGATTACGGTTAATTACATATTTAGAAGGTTTATTTTTCACAATAAAATTAAGTTGCATGATGTCCCGGATTTTTTCTAAAAGCATTAGAAAAAATAAATTGAACGGGCCTTGAATTTATTTTAAATTTAATAAAATAATTGCTTATATATAACCCCGATTTAATCCTGAAACATGTTTCTTACTTCTTTCTCTAAAAAAGAGGGTTTTTATTTTGGATGTCCGCACTTGGCCAAGTAGCATTATTTAGCGCCGAAAATCTCAAATCCAGAGGCCGATTCCTTTTGGAAAAACTCCGTACCCTAATGTTTCCAATTTAAATCCAAAGACTTTGGTAAGAGTTTTATTTTGGAGTCGCCACCCTTATTAGGAAAAATTCTCAAATCAGCCGATTCTTTGGAATCGACTAATCCAATTTTAAATCAAAGATAGGGTCCGAAACTTAGGTACGAAATAGGAAGGTGTTAGACACTTATTTCACCGGGCTAAACTGGCCTCCTAGTTGTCTATTAATTCACAATAATTTAACATTGCAATTAACTAAAAATTGAGATATAAAATCTTTTTATGCATTTTAAAAAACATGTCAAACATACATTCAATCTCATTCATACAATATGAAATAAACCAACCAAAAAAGGGAGGTGGGGCGAATATAATACAAACAATCCTACAATACAATCTACCCTCAAACCCTCCAAATTTTCCAAACACAGTCTATCTATTACAAGCAAGCTTTAATAGGAATCCTTATAGACTCTTGACATTTTTAAATAAAACTTAAATCAAAAAAATCCAAACCACAAATAACAAACATAAATAATAATAAATATTCATAGAGGTATATATTAATTATAATATCACAACACAATCAATCATCTAACAAGCATGAATATGATGAATGTAAATGATACAAGATTAATAAATAAAGGGTTAGCACAATAACAATGAACATTAAACTAAATAACAAGAATTTACAGAGAATTAATCAAGACAGAAATAAATAAAACTACCAAAAATGATTAAAGTGCCTAACCCCTAAAAAGTAAAAAGACCAATATTTAAATGAAAACAGAAAAATTTTACAAGGGTTTTAACATGAAATTTGGGAGTCATTGATCTTAAATTGTTCAATCCTATGGAAGGTCGACAATATGAAAACAAAAGATCACGGATCATTAAGCACTCTCTATTCTTCCATGTTTTATTAATTGATCTCTGACTCCACATAAATGTAACCAATCCTAATAATGTCTTATATCTGTACGAAGCCTATTTCAGAGCGGTCGGAGAGCTTAACTGCTTGAAAAAGTGAGTCAAATTCAATTAATCACAGGCATAATTAAATTAAAGTTTGAAATTAAGTTGCACATACTAACCATTCAACTTAAAGTTCTAATTAGGTCCAATTTTATTTCCAAAACCCCTAATTGACTTTAACATTTTTTTTAAAGTAATACACAAACCCTATATAATATAGGTCAATTAAAGCTTTTAATTGTTTGCGCGTCTGTATACGGATTTGCCCAATAGCACTTCCATACTACTAAAAAGTTTGTGTTTAAATTAACCATAAAAATTATAAGTCTAAACATTGCCATAGAGATTTTTCTTTCCTAATCATTAAGTAAAACCCTTAGCGCTCAAATTGTGATAATAACCCGCCCCTCCCCAATGGATCAATTCATAGCCACTAAGATGAATGCATTTAATGACTAAAAAAAGGAAGACAGTAATGCCACGAGGTGAATGTGCACTTGAGGCAGGAACCCACCACTGGTTTAATTATAATTTAGGGGAACGTTTAGGAAAAACCCTAATGACTCCCAATTTTAATTTAACCTAAGTCCTGGCAATTATTCCATGTTTAAGGCCAATGGTTTGGCAACCTGAGATGGATCGAGACCCCTATGTCAGTGGCCTGATAAACCTAACCAATGAATTGAATGGCCCTTTGCAAGGTAATGGACAAATTGAAAAAATTGTTTAATGTGATTTCGACCTTGGGGGGGTACAATTCCGAAACCCTGCACCGTACTTTCCGTTTGAATGGAAGATCAAAAGTCACGTAAAAAAAATTTTTAGTATCAGAAAGAGCACCTTTGAAAAAAGAGGCTATTGAAATTAATAATGCTTTATGACCACCAAGATTTTGTGCGTGTGTATTTGCCTGATCTATCATGGTCGTTTAGCGCACTTTTGACAAAAAAATTGATTAGATTTATTTAGAGCCGATTTTCTCAACTCACGAAAAAATGTGATTTAAAGGCTTTTTAGAAGGCCAAATGAATTCCATTGAAATTTTAAGGGATTGTATGTGGCAACACAATCTAATAGAAATGTGATTTTAGCAGCAAAATTTCGTCAACAATGTGATTTAACGTTTTTACGAGCACAAGGAGGAAAACAGTCGACATATTAAAGGAAATTTGATATTTAACATAGATCATTTGTCTTTTAGGCGGAGGGCTCTCTCGGTCGACAAAGGATGGACTGATCCTGATTAAAGGCTTATTTAGAAAGAATTGAAAATTTTAAGGCGTTTTCCAAGCAATAAACTGAAGATGTCGAAATTTAGGAAACTTATATGACGAAGAGGTTGCCCACAAATCATGATCATGCAGAATTGCTGACGGAACAAATTCTGAGTTATTGACTTAAGAGGAGACTTTAATTTCCGAAAAAAAAGTAAATAGTGTTGCAGGCCTATTTTTCTAGGTAAAAGCAACCAATATTGTCGAAACATAAGAAGGAGATTCTCGTAAGAAACAAGCCTGGTTAAAATTACTAATTTTTGCATACCGAATCTCAAGTTCATCCTATGCACCGAAAACCCAAAATCTGAAAAATTGAAAACCAAATGGGCAATTTTCA